CAGTCGAGACCCAAAGTAACAGATGGAAACAGCTCAGGCAGATAGTCTTCGTCTCACTGCATGCGTGTCCTGATGGAAGCTAATGGATCACATTGAATCCAAATGGATCCCGCTGGATCCCGATGGATCCCGATGGATCCCACTGGATCCCGCTGGATCTCGATGGATCCCACTGGATCCCGATGGATCCCGCTGGATCCCACTGGATCCCGATGGATCCCACTGGATCCCACTGGATCCCGATGGATCCCATTGGATCCTGGGATCCGCTTTTTCCCCCTTGAATTATCCTGCAATAACTTTAACACCTGAACGAGCATCTGCTTTATTCTCAATGGGAACAGCTTCATACTCATGATTCCTAATCATTTGGCACAAACAAAACAAAAATCGGTGAATGAACTTGCATTGCTGCACACTGAAATACGAAGTATTAATTGAATTTATTTTGATAAAATCCTATGAATTTCTTTTCCAAAAATGAATCGATAGATTTTTAAGTTTCACTAATTGCGTAAACAGTCGAGTAGATAGAGATGTATATGGGTAGCAGACGAACTTCAAGACGAACATTGACATAATGTCGACGAGGAACTATCAATTTACTTTTACAAAAATTAAAACCATCTATTTATTCATCGTTCATTGCCCTAGTTTCTTTACAACACTTTTATTCCTAGACTTTAAATGGTGAAGACAAAACGAATCGTTGTGTATGCTATTTTCGTTCATTAAAATCGACGAGAATATTCACAACGGGTTCGTTATGATAATGTTTGAATGGATAAGATGAACCATCACCTTTCTTCTTCCATTGCCAAGTTGCTAGATCGACGATTCTCATTTCTTTTCCATTCAGCTTCTTGACATAGATATGTCTTGTCGCCGGATGAGTTGTTTGTACGAATGCATATTGAAAACCTTTTATATCTCGTGCATAATTGCAAAGATGAATACGCAACTTAGTAGCTAAATTTTTGCCGGTGTATTTCGAGTGTGTTACTCCGTCTATGATAAATAGAACCATATTTGGTTTTAATTCTTGTTTAAATTCATGATGAACAAGTTCATGAATTAGTTCTGAAAATAAATCTTCTGTTGGATTTTGAGATGGTGGACTTAGTGCATCATGCGGATGCTGTTCACAGTAAGAATATAAATCAGAAGTCATGATTGTAGCAACAATTTCATTGGTAGGACGATGTCGTATAAAAAATGATAATTTTTGATTGAACCCGTCGACCATGAGTGGCAAAAACCATTCCTCAAACAATTCTTCAGCTGTTGTTTGGTTGAAAATCGTCAAAGGATTATTTAAAGCGAATTCTTCAGCAGCTAGTTTAGCACATAAACGAGCATCTATTTCATTGTCGAGGAGAGTAATTTCATAATCATCACTATTCTCCATGTGACACATGCATGAAAATGACTATAAAAAGAATGATGCCAATGCTTCTATTCGTACATTTTAATGTTGCTTTTTTTGCTCATTCTGTTGACTTTTATGTTCTACGTTTGTCGATGAGGTGCTTCTCTATATGTTCGATTACGGTCAAACTGCGCTGAAAAAATCGCAGTTGGTTGTAACTGCGATAAAAAAGTTGTAGCTACGCGTAACTGCGTCGCTATTTCCAAAAGAGATGACATAGGTGAGGTTTTCATTTTATTAATATTTTTATTGAGAGTTAAAAAAATTATTTTAAACACAACAAAATAGAAAGCTTTAAAAAGCTAAAAAATTGAAAATTCTTATACAAGCTAAAAACAAGAATTTTAAAAAAATTAAAAAAATTACAAAAAATTAAAAAAAGATAGAAAAATTAAAACAATAGAAAATAAAAAAATTAGAATAGTAGTAAAAAATTAAAAGCTTAACAACATTAAGAAAAATAAAATGATAAAAATCTAGAAAAATAAAAAATTTGAAGGAATTTAAAAGAATTAGAAAAATAAAAAAATTTAAATTTAAAAAAAATAAAAAATAGAAAAATTTAGAAAAATAAAAAGATAAAATCTTGAAAAATAAAAAGCTTTGAAAAAAATTAAAAAAGTTAGAAAAAAAATTGAAAAATTGTTTGCGATAATATATTCCACCTTTTGTAGTAGAATGAATTATGAGTCGAAATGTCGTGGACACTACCTTTTATACGGCCTTTCTCTGGCTAAATTTTACTGCTGCAGTGTGACCAATCTATATATATAATGTTCAGTGTGTGTTTCTCTGTGCCGGGTTAAAGGTCAAAGATCAAAGTTGAAAGGTTAAGAATTCTAGAATTTTCTAGAACGTTCGAAAATGTTGTATACTTCTATAAGTTTCCAGAATGTTCTAGAACTTTCTGGAACATTCGCAAAGGATTCTACGGTTGCGTAAGAAGTTGGGTTAAGGGTCAAAGGTCAGAGGTCAGATAAGGCTATAATGGGAAGGCTGTAATATATGCGGGCACTCATGGGTCCTCAAGGGCTACTATATGAAAGCACTCACAGGTCCTCTAGAGTCAATATATGGCGATACCCATAGGTCCTCAAGGGCTATCCTATGGGGGTATCTCTAGGTCCTC